GGCAGGCAGGCAGGTGAGTGGTTAGAAGCCAGCGGTCTGAGATTGAGAAGGAAGGCTGACTGCCGGTTTAGGCCCGATCCTAGGACCAAGGGGTCCCAGATTGGAGAGGGTGCAGGCTGGGCTGAGGGATACCCCTCCCCCTGCACGAATTTCATGCACCGGGCCACTAGTTTCCAGATATTGCTCAATGAAGAAATTAATTGCAGTTAAAGACACAGCAAATAGAAACAGCCAAAATATTTGTGGATAGCTATGGAAATATACATTAATAAGAATGAACCTAATTATTTTCCATCACCAAGGAGGAAAGATAAACTATACATAACCGTACAAAATTGGGAGCCTTTTTGCAGAAAGATGCTTTTGAAATACAAGGTAATATCATCATTATTGCTTTCATATCATCACTGCCCTTGCTCATTTGGTCAATAGCTGTTTCTCACTGTTCCCTTCCTTTGAATTTCATCACATTTTTGGTCTCACTATCCTGAAACCAAAGCATTACGTTTTAGGGAGTGCACACTTAAGCAAAGTTTAACCCCCAGTTGTTCTGAATAAATGAAAATTTGGACTAAAGATTGGAAAGTAAGAGGGCAGTTTGGATTTTTATAGAAGGCAGAAAAGTACTCTTAGAATATTTTCTTTTAGCCTCACAAGGAAAACTATTGCCTAATGAACTTGCAAGTATTTTTCTGGCCAGTGGTAAAACCTCATACTTGCTTGTATGGCCGGATGCTGAAAAACCAGCAGGCCAGGGACAGACTTGGATCTCTCTGACAAATGTAAGATCTGGGCAATTCATGATATTCCTAATTCCTTTTCCCTTCAAACTTTAGCTCCTCATCCTTTTCTCAAACCACATCTTGAGTTCAAGCACATTAAATTAACCCACACATGTCCCCAATGCAGATGTAAACTTCTCAGATCTAAGTTTTGCTATCACAGTTCCAGGTTTTAACAGGTAAAAGTGAATCGTGTGCATTTGTAATATTGTTTAACTTAAAAAAGCATGTCCAAAGCTTTAATGTTATGTTCTCTGTTTTTTCTACTCACTATCTTAAAGGAGCATGGATGACTCTCCTTCCCTTAGTTTGGTCTTAATGCGTTCCTAGTTTCTGGCATAGACACGGAAACCCTACCTCCACTTCTGTACCGTATCTCATCTGCTCATGGTTAATAGACGGTTAATAGGAGGATGCTTTTTTTTTCTCGTTATCATGACTACAGAATTCATATTGGAAATAACTAAAAAGAGTCAGCTTGCTATGATGGGGTACTTACATCTTCTGAAAAGAAAACTGACCCAGACAGCTGGCTTCAAATTCAGTTCTAAGAAAGGCTTCCCAAGCCTGGGCAAAGACCTGGAGATGCCATCTCTCCTCTTGGCCTTAACTTTGCCAATAAGGTCACAGGGGCATTGGTACCTGTCAAAGGCTGCCACCTCCTTAAGCAAAGATGGTACCTTCTCATTCCAGCACGGCCGTTATATACTCTGACATTTTCCTTGGCAGGCAGCACACAGAACCCCTGGAGGCTGGCACCTTGTTGCCCTCGGGCTTGGACAGCTGCAATGTCAGAGGATGGAGTAGATTCCCTTGAGAGAAGTACTAGTAGGGTGGGCATCAGGTGTTGGTGTGATTTTAGGGACTGAAACAGCGCTGCTGATTTTCTTGTAGTATAGGGTTTCCTCCCTTACACTCTGCTCCAGTCGTGTCCAGTTACTTAAGGATGTGAGGTATTTTGTCTCCTTTCTTTGCACACGCTGTTCCTCTTTTCAGGCTTCTCTTTTTCCCTTTAACCGCCTGATGAACTCCCATGCATCCTTTAAGACTCAGCGAAGTAACCCTTCCTCTGGGAAACTATCCTCAACGTGCTACCCATTATTTAGGTCATCAGTATACCCTATACCAGCCGTGGGCAAACTACGGCCCGCAGGCCGGATCCGGCCCGTTTGAAATGAATAAAACTAAAAAAAAAAAAAAGACTGTACCCTTTTATGTAATGATGTTTACTTTGAATTTATATTAGTTCACACAAACACTCCATCCATGCTTTTGTTCCGGCCCTCCGGTCCAGTTTAAGAACCCATTGTGGCCCTCAAGTCAAAAAGTTTGCCCACCCCATGCCCTATACTATTCTGATGTAACATTTATCATGCTCTATGGCAGTTTTAACATGTCTGTTTCTCCTATTAGGTTGTGAGTTTCCCGAAGTGTCCCCCAAATCTATCCGAGTGCCTATCACTCATGCACACATTGATTTCTTTTTTTTTTCCTTTAAAAATATGTATTGAGTGT